GTCTATACAGCTTTCTTTCTTCTTGTTGTGTCCTTGTTTTTCGTTGAAAACAGGATGATGCTGGCCTCCTAGAGTTTGGAAATGTTTCCTCCCTTTCAATCATATGGAAAAATCTGAGAATTGGTTATAGTTCTTTTTTAAAAGTTTGTCAAAATTCAGTCATAAAGCCATCCAGTCCTGAGGTTTCTTTGTTGGGAGACTTTTCAGTACTGATTCAATCTCATTATTTGTTATTGGCCTATTCAGGTTTTTTATGTCCTCATTTTTTTTTTAAATTTTGGGAGGTGCAGTAGACTTTATTGGTGGTGAAAGTAGGGCTCCTTAAACCTCCCCCCTTCTTCAGGGTGTCTGGGATGGAAATTGGGAAGAGGGGAGATTCTTGCTGAGGGACTGAGTTAGGAGCAGGGGACTCCCCACAGCCGAGGGCCTCTTTCTTTCTCTGTGTTCTTGCTGGGGCAGGTGGTCCAGGGGCCCTTACTCCTTGGAGGCCATGTGGACATCAGGTCCACCACCCTGTTGCTGTAGACAAACTCATGGTCATACCAGGAAATAAGCTTGACAAAGTGATCACTGAGGGCCATGCCAGCCTCAGCACTGAAGGTGGCAGAGTGGATATCACTGTTAAAGTCATAGGAGACAACCCGGTCCTTGAGGGGCCCGCGAACGCCTGCTTTACCACCTTCCTGATGTCATCAAATCTTGCAGCTTTCTCCAGGCCACAGGTCAGATCCACAACTGACACACTGGGGTAGGCACACGAAAAGCCATGCCAGTGAGCTTCCCATTCAGTTCAGGGATGACCTTGCCCACCGCCTTAGCAGCACCAGTGGATGCAGAGAGGATATTCTGGGCAGCTCCACCACCATCATGCCAGAGTTCCCCAGAGGGGCCATCTACAGTCTTCTGATTAGTAGTGATGACAAGTACTGTGGTCTTGAGTCCTTCCACAAGGCTGGAGTGGTCACGGATGACCTTGGCCAGGAGATTAAGCAGTTGGTGGGCGCTACAGGAGGCATTGCTGATGATCTTGGGGGAGTTGTCATACATCTCACGATTCACGGTCATCGCAAACATGGGGGCATCAGCAGAAGAGGCAGAGATGACCCTTTCAGCACCACCCTGGAATGAGTCCCGGCTTTCCCCATGCTGGTGAAGACACCAGTGGACTCCCCAACAGGTTCAGCACCAGCATCCCCCCATCTGATGTCAGCAGGGTCTTGCTTCTGGAGATGGACTTTCCATTGATAACACGCTTCCTGTATTCAGCCTTGACTGTGCCATTGAATTTACCACGGGTGGAAACACACTGGAACACACAGACCATGTAGTTGAGGTCAATGGAGCGGTCATTGACAGCAACAATACCCACTTCGCCGGACTGGAAAGCAGCCCTGGTGACCAGGCACCCAGTGTGGCCAGATACGTTCACTCTGACCCTCACCATCGTGTCTTAGGGACGGCGTGGCTGGCACCGCAAGAGACAAGAGGATGTGCACAAGAGAAGATGTGGCTGTCTGTGAACCAGAAGAAGCAGAGTCCTCAGATTTATTTTGATAGGTTATATGTGTCTAGAAATTTGTCCATTTCTTCTAGATTAGATTTATAAATGTTAGCATATCAGATTTATTTTTATCAGAATCTCATAATGATCCTTTGTATTTCTGTGCTAATGTCTTCTTTTGCTTAATGTCTAATTTTATTTGGATCTTCTTTTTTTTCTTGGTTAGTTTAGCTAAAAGTTTGTTGCTTTTTTTCACCTTCTTAAAATATGACCTCTTCATTTTATTGATCTTTTGTATTGCCCTTTTAGTCTCTTTTGCATTTATTTCTGCTCTGATCTTTCATTCCTTCTAATTTGGAGGTTGGTTTGTTCTTGCTTTTCTAGATCATTGAGATGCATTTTAAGGTTAGTTGAATTTTTTTTTAAATTTTTTAATGTAGGCACTATTGCTATCAAGTTCCCTCTGAATACTGGTTTTGTTGTATACCATAAATTTTGGCATGCTGTTTTCATTTTGTTTCCAGAAATTTTAATGTTTCTCTTCTTTTATCCTTGACAAGCCACTGTTGATTCAAATGTATGTTGTTCCGTGTCCATGTCTAAGTTAATTTTGTTGCTGACTCTAGTTTTTCCCCATGGTAATCAGAAAGGATACAGAATACAATTTCATTTACAATTTCTATTTAGAATTATTTTGGGGCTTAATATATATTGTGTATTCTAGAGAAAATTCCATGAATTGATGAAAAGAATGTGTACTTTGCAGCTGTTAAATGGAATGTTCTGACATATAGTTGAACTCTGATGTTTGCTCATTTTTTGGCGGAGGGGCTGGATGAATTGTCGAAAGTGGGGTATTGAAATTCCCCTGTGTTATGGTATTAGTTTCTCTCCCTTTAGGTCTAATAGTGGCTATTTTATAAAACTGGTTGCTCTGATGTTAGGTACACATAAATTTATCATATTTCTTATTGAATTCTTGATTATTATTAGTGACTTTGTCTTTACAGTTTTTATCTTAAAGTCTATTTCATCACATGTAAATGTAGCTACTGCTTCTACTAGCTTTAGGTTTCCCTTTGCTTGGAATATCATTTTCCATTCTTTCATTTTATGTTTTTACTTGTGAATTTTTTTTAGGAAGCATATTATTGGATCTTGCTTTTTGATTTATTCAGTCCAACTATCTTTTTTTTTTAAAGAGAGAGAATTTTTAATATTTATTTTTTAGTTCTCGGCGGACACAACATCTTTGTTGGTATGTGGTGCTGAGGATCGAACCCGGGCCGCACGCATACCAGGCGAGCGCGCTACTGCTTGAGCCACATTCCCCAGCCCAGTCCAGCTATCTTTTAATTGTTTCCATTCAAGGTCATTGATAGGAAAGGCTTATTCCTGTTAGTTGTTTTGAATATTATTTGCTCTTTACTTTCTCTCGTTTATCTTTGTGATTTGATGGCTTACTTTACTGATAAAAATGTTTTTCTTTTGTGTATTTACTCTTCTAGTAGGATTTACTTTCATGACAGTAATTTTCTTTGACTTCTGGGCACAGGACTCCCTTAAGTATCTTTTGTAAGGCTGGTCTTAATTATCTCAGTTCTGAGAAAGTCTTATTTCTTTGATTCTGAAGGGTAGCATTGCTGGATGATCCTGGTTGGTAGTCTCCCCCAACTCCCACCTCCCAAGACTTAGTACGTCAGGTAACTACATTTATGGCGTAGCCTTCTTAGTAAGCAGACTCCAGCTGAACATGTGTCTTGGGTGTTGGTTTGACAAGGCTGGCTTTGATTCTAGCTGGGAACCATTGTGTAGTTTCTGAAGCTTCTTCAGCTGTGATCAGTAAATTAGGGCATGGTATAGATAGGGGATAGGACCACTGCCCCTATGGGCCATGCAAGAGTGGAAACACACTAGCAATTCAGGCAAGTGTGATGTGGACAACAGTGGATGTGGGGTCTTCACTGTGGGGCTATTCTTATAATGGAAATGGTGGCTCCTATTAGGTGACAGGAGTTTCCTCTGGCATTGTTGAAGCTAGCTCTGCAACAAGCAAGGGACTTTGACATTAAAGGCACCAGTAGTAGTGAGGGGCCTGAGGCCCAGATGCTGCATGGGAAGAGGCAGCAGAAGGAACCTGGGCACCTCCTCTGTGGCATTCACACCCAATTTTGACAGAACTTGGTCAGATAAGATGCAGGGGTGGCTGGCAGTGAGAATTGCAAAGGTGAGGTGACAACAGCAGCTGCGGTGTTCGTCTCTACTGCTACATGGTAGTGCCTGCCTGGGAACGGGACCCTGGCCAGAGCTAAGCAGTTCCCCTAGCCATGCAAGCTTGGGCACAGGGTAACAAGAATAGCCTGAGTTACTGGCTCAGCACCTTCTGTGGGCAGGACTGCAGTAACAGGAGAAGGGGCAGTGTGAGCCACGTGTGAACCTGCCTTTAGTCCAAGCACCAACACAACTCTGTAGTCTTAGCAAGTCCCTGATCTGATTCCGGGCGGGATTCCTGACCCCTACAACAGTTCAAATCCAGACAGCCACTCATTTCTGCTACAGCATTATGGTTGACTACTGGGAGATATCTAATATCCTTTCCCACAGCAAGCCTACTTCAGGGTGCTTATTTAAGTGGCTATATGCCTGTGAGGACTATGAAATTTCCAGCCTGGGATAGCCAGCATCCCTACTGAGTTTTCTGAGGCTATATCCATGTGTATCTTGGCCCAATTAACCAGGAGACAGCCTAAGGATTCTAGGATGGTTAATTCTGGGCGTCAACGTGACTGAATTGAAGGATGCCTGGAGAAGTGGTAAAACATACTTCTGGGTGTGTCTGTGAGGGTGTTCACAGAGAGGACTGGCATATGGATCGGCAGATCGAACGAGGAAGACCCACCCTGACTGTGGACAGCACCATCCAACAAGCCGGGGCCCTGGATGGAACATAAAGTAGAAGAGGGAAACTTGTTTTCCAAGGTTCCTTTTCTTTTGCTGCTTCCCTTCAACAATTTATTGCAGGTTTTCCTGTCTTTGGACTCAAACTTACACCAACAACCCTCAAGGAGTTGGGCTGGGGGCTGCACCATCAGTACCTCTCATTCTGAGGTTTGCAGCTCTTTGCACTGATCTGCTGATGACTTCCATGCTCTCCACAGCTTCCAGATGGCCACTGTGGAACTTTTTAGCCCTTGTGTCACGTAAGCCAATCTAATGAGCCTCCTTTTACCAACAGATGTCCTATTTTCCTGGAGAACCCTAACATAGGGTCTATCCTTAGTAAAATCCCCATGGTAGGAGCATAGTCTATAGTGTAAGGTGACAAGCACCCCCGCCCCTTCCCCCCAAGCCAACAAAAAAACAACTGTGCCCTTGGAAAGATCACCTATACGCTCTGGGTACCAAGTTCCCTGTTACTATACTTCTCTCAGATGTTCAGAAACTACCCAGGTAGTGTTAGTGGATAAACTGCCAAGTGAAACAAGCCAGGTATAGAATATGAATATCAAATGGTTTTCACTCATTTGTTGAAGCTAAAAGTTCTGATTACATAGAAGTAGATAGAATGACAGAGGTCGCTTGAGGCTAGGAAGGGTAGAAAAATGGGGGCTTTGGAGAGGGTGATAATGGGTACCAAAATACCATGGGTGAAGAGGGGAGTAGTTCCAATGTTCTATGGCATAGTGAAAACAGTCTGTAACAATTATACGTAACAAAATAACTAGAGGAAACTCTGAAGGATCCCAGCACACAGAAATAATATTTGAGGAGACGGAAATGCTAATTAATTACTTCAACTTGGCTATTATATATCATGACCAATTATATGAGGTACATGTGTCAAATTAGAATACTGTATTCCTAGTAAGTACAAATAATATTGTCAACTAAAAAAATAACCTATGTGTTAAGTATTGGTGGAAAGAAAAGTGGATAGGAGGCAGTTAAATGCAATGAAAAAATTGGGGAGAAAAGAATAAGGAATCATGAATTTGGGGTCTAACTCATCTCTGGCACAGATGCTAAGCTGCCGAAGGATGAAGGTATAGGTAGGGAGTTGAACAGAATCATAAAGTACTGGAAGTAGTACCTTTCTTAGATCATGATCCTGGCTCTGTGAGGTTTTCCTGCATCAAAGGCCCCTGTCTGAGACCTCTGACAAGGACTCTGCAGCATTCAGGGTGTTGATGGCCTCAAAGAGGCAGAAATTAGGCTGGCTGAGGACAGCGCCCAAGGCGAAGACTTCACATACAGAAGTGGGAAAAGTCGGACTTGGGTTTATCCCTGTGACTCTTTCCCCAGTGGTTCTCGGCCCCGACCTTCCCCAACACCACTAGTCATTCTATGCCTGCTTTGTGCCATTTTCACAATTCTCTCATGTGTTGAAGCTGAAATGGATTTAATGGGTAGGGGAAAGGAGATTCACTGTTTTTTCTGAAGTTGCATTTGACAGGCCTCTCGGCCAAAGTGATTTTTTTCAGACTGAGATACTAAGCAGTGCAAAAAGAAGGGCAGGAGAAGCTTCACTTGTCTGGATCAAGACTCTCTTCTCAGCTCTATTCCTGAGGCATGAATTACCTGAAGGTGCTTCCTTCTCCCAGACACCCTGTTCTATTTCCTTTGTATCTCCTTAATCCAGACTGTCTTTCCTTCTGTAAAGAAAACATCTGGTGAAGGAGGAAAAAACCTAGATATAGAGGAAAAGAATAAAATGGCAAAGAGACCAGAATATTTATCATTATGCAAATAGTTATACAAACTGAGATCAAATAACCTTCCCAAATAAGTTGTGCATCCTCTATTACAGGTACCATATCAGAGTAACACATCTAGGAGAACAAAGTTAGAATTAGAAAAACACTATCCCAAAGCTCCCCAAATCCCCTCCCCCTTTTTTTGGTATTGAGATTGAATCGAGGGATGCTTAACCACATCCTCAGTCCTTTTTGAGATAGTGTTTTGCTAGTTGCTGAGGCTGGCCTTGAACTTGCAATCCTCCTACATTAGCCTTCTGAGTCACTGGAATTATAGGTGTGCATTATGATGCCTGGCCCAATTCTTTTCTAAGATACCCATGATAGTCAGTCTGGACCAATATCTTTTTTTTTTAAATATTTATTTTTTAGTTATAGTTGGATATAATATCTTTAATTTATTTATTTATTTTTACGTGGTGCTGAGGATGGAACCCAGGGCCTTGACCGTGCTAGGCGAGCCTCTACCACTGAGCCACCACTCCAGCCCCTGGGCCAATATCTTGATAGCTGGTTGCTAACTACTGGATCTGGTGCAGGGCCTACTGTTAAGGCACCTGCTGTGCTGAGGAGGCAAGTGGGGACTGTGAATGAAGAACAGCAGTCTTGCTTCTAGGGAAGTAATATCTGATAAGGGTGGTCAAGGAAGATGTATTTCATCACTTTACATTCAACTTTGTCAAAACTACTAGTTTAATAATTAGTGAAATAACCATTCTAAAAGTAATATGTCCTAATTTCTTTTCTCTATATCATAAGTACTTCCAATATTGTTGGCACTAATTACTGCTTTAATCTATTGTAGTAAAACTCTTATGCTACTACTGCTTAAATTGTGCAAGCACATAAAACTTTCTCTATTTAAAGTTTTTGTAAGGAGTTGTGACTGAATGATTCAGTAAGAATCTAAGTACAAAGATGGATTTTCTGTATAATTATAGCCATTGGGGGGTCAACTTGGCAGCTTCTGATTTTGAATAGAGTAAAATAGTTCAAAGAATGCTAAGGGAGATCTTGAGAAATAAATATTAGTTTAGTTATTGACTTAATAGAATTAATTTCATATAGCCTCTTCAGATTATATCAAAAAGTTTCCAAAATAAAATAGTTCATTTATTTGTTAACTGTTTAGAGAACAGAATAACTTCTTAGAATCAGGCCTTGGTCCACAGACCTGAAATATTTCTAGAAAAGTAGTAAGAAAAAATTTAGTATGTAATTAAAAGGCAATTGCTCAATTGATTCTTCCCTTCTTATATTTTTAAATCTATCTCTTGGCATCCAAAAGTGTTCATGTCTATCTCATGAGTGTGCGCTCTGGATATAGACATAAGTCAGAAACTGCTTCTGAGTGTCTGTCCCACTGAGGAGGGCAGAATGAAGAACATGGCAGGAGAGGACTTGGCTGTGGATTAAACAGCAATACCAGAAACAGCATATTTCCCTCCTGAGTCGGGGAACATATTCTCAACATATTACAAAAGGATACATGTAAGTCGGGATGCCTCTGGCAGCCAGATGTTTCCGAATAAGTCGCTCAGTGCCATACCAGTTAAAACCCCTGGTGGCATGACCGATGCGTGGAAGATGAACACTTGCTATTAAAAAAAAAAAAAAAGATCATATGTCTTCACTCATCACGATATACAGAGAAGAAAATAGCCATCAACTGTCCACCCAAAATACACAAATACAGTGTGAAAAACATGCTGGCGAGGAGATTATAATAGGGAAAAATTAGAAAAATTAAGTTGTTCTGCTGAACATAAAGATCCACAGGCTCTTGAAAAGAAGCAGGCACAATGGAAGTAGAATATGATTAATGGGGAAATCAAAGATTCCCCAATAATCCATGAAATTCAACAAACACCAAGACACATTAGGTTTAGAGACAAAATTAAATTTCTTTGGCAGAGAGTCATGGCATACTGTGACTCTCTAAGGGGAAGTCTAATAAACGGCTTTTCCCAATTGTGTATGACCAAATTTCTTCATCTCTAATCTTCTGCTTCCCCAATGTAAAATCATGATAAAAACGAGATAACAAATACAAAACCAACCTGGAAAGGAAAACGAGTCACACACAGACAAGATGAAGTGGTCATCACTCTGTGCTCTACCTTTGCCATGCAAACCGAGTGTGGTCTGGACACTCCTCATCTCCCCCTCAAAACGACACCACATGTCTGGAAAAAGAAGGTCCTCTCCTGATCTCAGAGGGAAGAGCTTACCTTTCTTTTTCTTTGCTGCTAAAAATATCTTCTTGAGGCCCTCTTCTAGGGCTGCCATCTTAATGCCAGACAGGACATTGGAGCGATCGCGGTGCTGAGCCACTACCAAGGCTAACTAGAAAGAACCACCATTAGATGGGTGCCATGAGACAGTTCCACTGTCAACTCAGTGACCTGCCCATGGAGGGGACATAGCCTTTTATGGACCACCTAGGCTTTGGCTCCACACCACCCGGCCCCTTTTTTGGTTACAGAGATTGAACCCAGGGGTGCTTAACCACTAAGCCACATCCCCAGTCTTTTTTTTATTTTTCATTTTGAGACAGGGTCTTGTTAAGTTGCTTAGGGCCTCACTAAATTGCTGAGGCTGGCTTTGAACTTGTGATCCTCCTGCCTCGGCCTCCTGAGCTGCTGGGATTACAGGCGTGCGTCACTGCATGGGGTGGCTCCATCTCTTTTGTATGCTCTGCTTGCACAGCAATGTGTGATTATGTACCCATCATAACTTGTTTTTGTGGTAACGGGAATTTCTTCCTCTTTGCATGATATGTTAAAAACTAGAATCTAAAACTTGTACTTTCTCAACGTTCTCATAGGTAAAGAAAAATTCTAAGACTCTTAGGAGTAGATAGGATTTTAGAGGTTCTCACGATCCAGTCCTCTGACACTAGAGTTAGGCTGCCTGCTTGCCCTGGGAACTATTTCTGTCTAGAAAATCTCTATGAAAACAGATGCCAAAGATCCCCCACGTCCTCCTAATGGGGGGAAACTGGAGAGTTCAGGGAGCTTCTGGAGCCAATGTGAGTCACGACAGTCACGCCCCAGACACAACGTTCCACACTGTGAACAGTTTCCTGAGTAACTATATTCTGAAATTCTTATGCATGGACATTATGTTATCCACCCTCTGCCTTTTTTTCTTATTTTAGAAATTCCTGAATGAACCAATAAACTGGAAACCACTTTGTTGCTAGTCACACACACCACCAATATGAAGAGAATGAACCTCTTTCAGCCTGGTTTCTAAATTTCTAAAGTGTAAGTTTTGGTTCAAAATTTGGATGTGGACTCAGGTCTTGGAGAAAACTGTCGGTGTGGTAAGTAAATTCACCACAGGTATTCCAAACAACAGACAAGCAAGCAAGAGATACTTAAGGTGCAAAAGGAGGATTCTGATGTAAGCAGAGAGTGTTGTACTGGTTCCTTTCCTCTGCCTGTGGCTGGCCAGGAAACACAATCTTTTACAGAAACTTTCATGTAATAAATGATGAAACCCCCAGAGTTTTGAGACATATTTTCTTACTATTCAGTAAATGTTCACTGGGCATTTCCTAGGAGCCAATACTATGTGGGATACTAAGGATAAAAAAGTCCCTGCACACAAAGGGGCCTGGAGTCTGGCCAGGGGATGATAAGGAAGCAGAGGACAGTGCTCAGGGACTGTGATGCTCAGAAGGCTGGGGGATGGCGAAGTGGAGCATGGGGGCCAACCTGCTTGTTATGGGATGGACCCTGCTCCCCCAAATTCATGTTTTGAATCTGGGGTACTCCCAGTACCCCAGAATGTAACTACACTTGGACAAATGCCTTAAAAAGATTTATACTGGCAGTAGAATGAATTGCAGATAACTTTCCTATGTTCATACATGAACACATAACCATGTAACTCCACACCATGGACAACCACAAGAATGGGCAGTTACAGGGCTGGGGATGTGGCTCAAGTGGTAGCGTGCTCGTCTGGCATGCGTATGGCCCAGGTTCGATCCTCAGCACCACATACAAACAAAGATGTTGTGTCCACCGAAAACTAAAAAATAAGTATTAAAATTCTCTCTCTTTCTCTCCCTCTTAAAAAAAAAAAAAAGAGTGGGCATTTACACTCCATGTATGTATGACATGTCAAAATACATTCTGTCATGTAAAATACAAACAATTAAAGAATGGATATTATTTTGTTAAAATGAGGTTGTTAGGGTGGGCCCTAATCGAAACTGGCTTGTGTCCTCTGAAGAACACAGTGAGAAGGTGGTCATCTCCAAGTCAAGGAGAGAAGCCTCAGGAGAAACCCACCCACCGACACTCTGATCCTGGACTGGTGGCATCCAGAACTCTGAGAACATACGTGTCTAGGTTTAAGCTGAGTACCAGTCTGAGGCACTGTTATGGCGGCCGTAGCAAACCACTCGCATACCAGAGACCTTGGCCAGCAGGGGCAGGAAAGGCTTTAAGAGAAATTATTGGGAGCCAAATGTTAGTTCTGATTAAGAGATGTGTTTTTGTTTTTAAACTTACCAGATCTTGCCCTGTGTTTCTTGACTCTTTATCATCAATAGGAAATAAAAGGACACCTCCCAAACTCAAGTCTGAGATTAAAAAAAGAAAAAAGAACAAGAGAAAGAACACTCAGCCTCACGTGGACCACTGAAGGAGAATTACTCCGAGCCCTACTGTGCCTGCTCGTCCAAATCCAGTTAGGTCTAGGACCATACCTCTGCCAGTCTTTCGCAGCCTTTTCTCACTCCCCTGTTCTCCTGACCTCAGTCACCGCCTTAGCCAGTTCTCATCTGCTTCCCTCCTGAATCTTTCATGTTCTGCTAACTCAGTATTCCCCAAACGTCACCAGCCGAGTGCCCCACAGGCCACGGAGAGGGGAAGCGAGTGCTAGGGGCATCCCTGGGTGGGGAGGTGGGGAGGACTTCTAGGAGCCTGAAATGCCTTTGGAAGTCTTAGAGTTTGTCTCACATCATTCAAATTCTGCATTCCACTACGTCTAGTCCTCTTGCATGTTTTCCTACCCCATTCAAATCAAATCAAACTGACATTCTAGGCAGATGTGCTCATTTAATTCTGGGCTCTACATAACCCAGTTTAAACTTTTTGTTTAAACTAAAAAGGTAGATATCTTGCACACCCCAATCTTTTAATTCAAAATACTGGCTCTGCTACATCATTTTCTTTTTAATTTTTTTTTCTAGGTGACAATGGACCTTTATTTATTTATATGCAGTGCTGAGAATCGAACCCAGAGCCTCACATATGCCAGGCAAGTGCTCCACCACTGAGCCCCAGCCGCAGTCCTGCTATGCCATTCTTCTGATCAGCCGTGATCCCCTGGATATGGTCCTACTTAGAACGGATCCCCTGGACAAGCCATGGATGGTCTTCTATGATGTGGCCAACCCTCCCTTTACAACTGAACTCTGCTGTTCCTCGGCCTAAGCCTGGCCCATGCGTGTGGACTGTGCAATGACTTGGGAACAGTAAATATTATAGGGATACCAAAAAGAAGGTGACTGTTAGGCATCTCTTGCCATTCTACCCACCTATTCAAATTCAACCCATCCTCCCAGACCCCAGATAACTCTTACCATTCCAGGAAGCCTTGGTCCGGTTCTACCTACTCTGATCTAGGCTATTTAAATCCTTCTTCATGGGGCTGGAGCTGTAGCTCAGTGATAGAGTTTGCCTAGCATGCATGAGGCACTGGGTTCAATCCACAGCACCACATAAAAATAAAAAAATAAAGGCATTCTATCCATCTACAACTACAAAAAAAAAAAGATTAAAAAAATATGAATCCTTCTTCAGAAAAGAGTGTACGCCTTCCAACTCCATTTTCTTACTGACCACTTTTACCTTAAATCTATACAACCAGGTGACAGTCCTCACATTCCTCAAAGTGCTCCAAGGTCATGTGACTGATCATGGCTTGAATCCAGTGGCCTTTTCCCAATTCTTTTTTTTTTTTTTAATTGGTTGTTCAAAACATTACAAAGCTCTTGACATATCATATTTCATACCTTAGATTCAAGTGGGTTATGAACTCCCATTTTTACCCTGTATACTAATTCAGAGTCTGACACTGTAAACCACTTTGCCTTCTTAATATTCTCTCTTCCCCTTACAAAGACTGAGCAGCATCCCTAATCCAGAAATCCCAAATCCTCCCAAATCCCAAATTTTTAACAGTGATATGATGCTACAAGTGGAAAATTCCACATTAGACCTCATGTGATGCACGGTGCACTAAAAATAATGTATGAAACTACCTTCAGGCTATGTCCATTAGATTTATGTGAAATATAAGTGAATTTTGTGTTTAGACCTGTTCCCATTCCCAAGGTATCTCATTAAGGTATACAAAATATCCAGTTTAAAAAAAAATCTGAAATACTTCAGTTTAAATAAGCAAAACCTTTACTTCAAAATACTATATTCTCAAGGTTCTCTTATTTTTCTGAAAATTCTTACTGTCTCCTCTTAGCTCCAAAAGTTTTCCATGTACTGTTCTCTGCCCTCTCATTTCTCCAACACGATTCCTAACAGGGACCTCAGTCTGCACCTCTGGCTCTGACCGCTCCTGGGTTCTCTGTACCTTTTTGCTTTTGTTTTGAATCCTGCCAAGTCAAGATCTAGATCTGGGTTGGCTGTTTCAACACACACACCAAACCCTTCTTTCAGCAATGTGTTTTACACCCTTACGTTCCTCTCTACTTTAGAGAACTGGGCAAAAGAATGAGAAAAAACCAGTCTCTAAGATATCAGGAGATATTCTTTGTTGGACAAGGTCCCGTGACTGCTCAACGGCAGAAAATGACCTCAGGATCATCTCACTCTTCCTGACATGTTGCAACCTTGACACGTGAAGGAGGTGGCCTTTTCCCTTCTGTGTGACAAAGGACAATACCTCTTAGTCTTCTAAGTTCTCCTAGTCCCAAGCAGCCTTATTTCTGTCTCCAGCGAGTGTTGTACCCAGGCACAAACCTGACCCACCACCCACCAGTTTCAATAGTGTGTCGCATTTCTCTCCTATAGCTGTCTGACATTTTTATGGGATATTCCCTTATGAAGATGGCATGAGTTGGATGGAATAATCTTCATTCTAATACTTGAAGATGCAGCAATTGACATTTTCCAAAATACCTACACATTCATCATCTTCACTGTAGTCTCACGGGGTAGGTGTGACAAAATGATGAGAAACAGGCAGAGAGATGACAGAATTCCGACCCCAATCGGCTCTCCCAAGTCTTCTCGAGGGCTAGCTAAAGCCAATACTGTCCTGAGTGTCTTTTCCTGTCTCAGTCCATCGTTCTGTTTCTTACCTTTCATTTTTCCTGCCAGCTCATATGTTTTTCTTGGCTCAGCTGATCGCGCTTCCAGAGCCGTGAATAAGCCACCTCTGCCCCAGCGGCCAGAGTCATCTGACGGAAGAAAGAAAATTTTCATCTGTAAGAGGCAAAGTCAAGCCCACAATTTAGAAAAACACACTCACACAAGATAGGCTTGTAGAAGAATGATTTTTTCAAAGGGAAGGATCGATATATCTGATCTCCTAAAAGAATCATAGTTGGATTCCCAAATACGTTCAGGTTTTCTGAAAGATACGCCTGGTCATCATAACAGAAAGGCAGCTCAAAAATGAGTGTTATGAAGAAGCAGGAATCTCTGGTGGGTCTATAACTCTGGAGGGTGGAGAGTGGATGGAACACAGCAGTGACAAGCACTGTTAATACCACAGCATACAACTGCCGTTTTACAAGCAAGGAAGAGAAAAAGTGAAATGACTCATTCAAGCTCACTATTATGTAGCTGGTTGGCACCTGGTATTTATACCCATTCATACCACAACTACTCATTTACCTGTATCACATGTCAGACATCATTCCAGGTACTGGGGTAATACAGTGAACACACATGCACACACACAGTCCTCTTCCATTAAGTTTATGTTCTAATGCAATGAGACAGTCAAAGACGTACATTAATATGTCAGAAGGGGATAAAGGTAAGTAGTGTAGAAAGAGGACAGAGTAACAGAGGCAACATACAGACTGTTTTCCAAGCAGACATTTGAACAATGCTTGATGGGATTATTTGGGAAAACAGGGTTCCTGGCAGAGGATATAGAACATGCAAAGGTTCTCAGGGGAACACACAGGGAGTTTCTCAGAGAATACAGTTTTCTTCTAAAATGCAGCCTTGTTTCACCTTCTTAAAAAACTTGTGCAGAGGATGAGACAGATATTGTCCCATTAACATAGATTAGGAGGCTGACACTCAGGGAGAGTGGGTAACTCAACCAGGTAAACCAAAGAGCCAAGAGTCAAATCCACGTCCGCTGAGTCTACAAGCCATGCTTTCTTGGCCACGTGACACTGCACTGGCACCAGCCCTTAGCCATGACTGTGCCTCATCCTCTCCCTTTCTTGGCACCATGAAGATGAGGCACCCTCCCTGTCCCACACCACTTCTCGTACCTACACAATGCACAATGAAGGCGTCCTCGGCCTGGGCCTGGGGGTGTGTGACGTCACCGCTAACATACTTGATGGACGCTGGCTCTGGGTCTTCGCAGCCCAGCTCGGCAGCACCCCTGTCTTCCTCATCTTCGAGGTCTTCAGGCTCACTCTCCTCAGAGGGCAGGCAGAAGGACCGGTAGTTGTTGGACTTCCACCAAGCCATCCTTCAACAGGCCAGAGAGAAGAGAAAAGTAACCTCTCCTTTGAGCACAGCTTGCACTGCTATTCCCAAACAATAACTGCCAAGTACAATGCAATTACAAACTTACCGACTGAAGTTTTCTGCTCAATTGTAAATAAACAAGTTTTAGTGATTAGCCCAACTATCTCTTGATTACACTTCAATAATGAGCAGCCACCAAATGTCCCTGTTTTTAAGAACATGACTAAAAGGGACTGTTCAAATAAATAATTCCTTGTCAATATAGTAAAATCTCTAAAATTTCTTGTTTCTCTGCTTTAGGTACTCAAGACTTCTCGCTAAAGTAGACTCAACGTTAAAGCTGAATCTTTGAAGAAGTGTTCTGTGGAGTCAGGTGTGGTGGTGCACACCTGTGATCCCAGCTACTCTGGAAGCTGAGGCAAGAGGATCACAAGTTAGAGGCCAGCTGGACAACTTAGTGAGAGCTGGCTCAAAATAAAAAATAAAAAGAACTGGGGAAGAAGATCGTGGTACAGTGTCCCAGGTTCAATCCCTAATCAAAAAAAAAAAAGTATTCTGTTACCAACAGGAACTACCAGGCTGATACTTTTTTGATTTTTAAGTGATGTTCAATTGTGGAATCCTTTGCCAACTGTGACCCTCAGCTTGGTTAGTAACACAGACATACCTTTTTTCCATCAAATATATATTAAGGGCTTGGGGATGTGGCTCAAGCAGTAGCACGCTTGCCTGGCACGCACGAGGCACTGGGCTTGATCCTCAGCTCCACATAAAAATAAAGATGATGTGTCCACCGAAAACTAAATATTAAAAAATTCTCTCTCTCTCTTAAAAATATTAAATTTCCCATATGAATACCCTTCCCTTCTCCACAGTCTAGTGGAGGAGACGAGACCTACGTCACTGGAGACCACAGTACTTTATGGACATACTTTTTCTTATGTGCAGCCTCTTCCTTTGCCCTCTTCTTTTCCTCTATTAATCTCTTTCTCTTGGCTGCTGCTTCTTGTCTTCTTTTCTGTCTTTCCTCCAGTTCTTCTGGGCTCAGAATCTGCTTCCTTTTGGCGGACCCCTCCACCAGGCCTGGGATAAGAACCTGTAGGAAAGACAAGACCACAGCCAAGAAGATCAGAGACTTCCTATTCCTCTCAAGTCTCCTTCATCCTAAAGTACACTCTACAGAGGTAACTCGCGTAGGACTTCACAGAGCACAGCATCCCTGTGTGGTGGGCACTGGCCGCCAGGTAATCCAATTTAACATTCATATTCTGCATCACACTGGCACGGCGCGCAGAGCACTAGCATGGCTGGTAGTCATTTTGATTCATCTCATTAATAATAAGGTGCTTACTTTTTTCTTTGATTGAAAGCATACACCGTAGGATGGCATTTAAAGTTTAAATAATTTTAACACGAATCTTTCTACAAATGTACAATTCCTTTTAATACAGTATTTTAGCATGATTATCTTAATGATAGCTAACATTTAGAAAATACATTTTAAGCACAAAATACTGTGAACATGACATGTATCGTTTATGATTGCCATCATCTCTTAATGAAACAGGGTCATGATTATCAACAGCAGGATATGGTATTTTGATGTAACATGGTGATCCCTTTAGGGTGGCTTAGAAGAGGGACAGGCCTACTTTTACCTGCATTAAATAGTACAATATACTCAGCTTGTTAATGTTTTTTATACTAGATTTTTACATAGCTTTTTATATAGGGTTCAGTTCATTTGTTATATTTTAACAGACACTTATTTCTTAACAAATCATCTTAAGATATAATTTTTGGAAGACTTTATGATTTCACACAAATTAACAGCTCTTACACTGCCTTTGTTTCGGAGTAACCGGCCTTCTTGACTTGTTTTCTCCAAAAGGGTTTTCTGAAGATTCACCAGTTGTTCAAATGATTTTCTGTCTTCCTTACTGGGCTCTTTAGAATAATCTTTACCTTCGAATAAGTACATATGGCTTTCTAAGAACATAAAACACAAAGTGAGAAATGTTAAGACATTGAAAAACAGGTCAATGCTATTCAAAGCAGTAACTAGGTGAGTAAGAGAACAGCCCTTACTCTAAAGGGCAAAGGCCAGCTTGTGGTGAAGGCCTTCCATTTCCTGTTGCACTGACACTGATAAGTTTGGGTTCTATACATGTTCACTTTTCAAAGGACAGAGCATTGGCTTAAAACCCTTTTGGATCCATCCAAGATGATATGGGAATCTCTGCTGGATCCCTCTACCTTGCTGAGTCGAGTCTCAAATCACTCATTCATTCCACAACTATTCCCAGTGTAAATCTCACTGACTTTTAAGAACCGCTAATAAAATCTCTACTTTTTAATCCCAAACATACTTTTAATACTCTTTTTACCCTTTTTCTATAATATTAAAAGGAACAAGTGGCAATTCTATGAGAAAATGAAAAAAAAAATCACAAAAAATAATCCCTTGGATTTATAATATTCTTTACAGATCTCACAAAGCATCTTCATGTTTTTTACATCATTCGTGTTATAGCTAACCCCACTTATGAAAGGAGAAACTGAGACTCACACAGGGATTAAATGGTTCCAACTCTTTCTGCTACAAAATGAACATGGCAGGTTTTTCTAATTCTAAGATCAATATGTTCTTTTCAGTAGATTAGTATGTATGGAAAAGTAGAAAAAAAGCTTGCAAATAATCATGGCAAAAACAACAAGAACAATAGTATAATCTTTTTTTTTTTCTTTAATTTTTGCAGTGCTGGGGATCAAACCCAGGGACTCACAAATGCTAGGCAAGAGCTCTAACACTGAGCGGCACCCCCCAGCCGATAGAACACTTTATGCTATCAGAGCAGTTTCACATCTAGCATTACATTTGATTTTTGCAGCTGTGTAAGAGAGTAAAGCAGACATTAATAGACCATTTTACAGATGAAGACACTAAGGCCCAATGAGGCTAGGTGGTCTGCAAGATCATGAATCAAGTGATAACCAGCTAAGACCAGATAGGCAGGGTAATAATTCAAAAGTGAAATGCATGTAATAGCACGTTACCAAACAATGTATTTTCACAGCATTATGAAATCAGCTATAAGTATGTTTTCCCTAGAGAGTATGAAAGCAAAACATTTTCATTCTCAAGAGATCAACTGCTTCACACTTGTACCCAAATCTAACCAGCCATAATTCTAATTGGCATTTGCTAATTACATCAGCAGGGGGCTCTCAAAGAGGCACTCTATCAACAAGTGGAAAAACATAAAAGAGCTGAGAAGTTTCAATTATGATCAACATATGTAGTATCATACTGCATGAAATCCTCAGCTTACCATATAACTGTGCTTTTTAAAACACTTGGCATTAAAGATAAAGCAACCTTACTTTATACTTAATTGTGAATGGGCTGCTCTAACTACTCCTCTTTCAGATTCATTTGTTATTTTTAAGCATGCTTTATGTCTTCACTCTGTTTCGAAGAGGCAGCTGGAGCCCACAGGTCTAGACCCTCATCTGGGTCCTGCCAGAGAAACCATCTACCACAAAGAGAATCAAGACAGTCATCGAAGACAACATTCCAAATTTTAATCCAAGTAGAGAATCCAACAGTTAAAACTGTCTGCAAAAATGTAATTTTTTTGTAGGTAGACTGAGATATATAATTATCTTTCTAAAAACACTGCAATTTTATTTTGTTCTAGTAAATAAAGTCAATCTAGATGAGTACAGAAAAGGGTGGAAACTTGGTACTAAGGTAATCAAATACAACTTAAAAATATGACCACACACATCTATTTTTTCTCTCACCCGATACAGCTAAAGGACAATACACAGATTTCTAAAAGGTTATATGAGGCAATGGTGGATGAAACAGTGCACGAATTCGTTGGAAGATAAAAAGTGGATAAGAAGAGAACAACAGATTCAGAAGAGCTGTGGAACCAAAACACTGGTATCTAGCTGGGGCTGACTGCAGGAACAGAAACCCTTTCAGTCCTCCAAAAACTCAGATGCACAAGCACAGGCACCACAGTATGGAGGAACTGAGAGGATCCGCACACCAAACACCAGGAGCACCATGTGCCCTCAGCTCCCTGTCTTTCCAATTTAAACCACCAATTTCACTGTAATGGTATAGGACTCGTCTTAGGATACAATGAGTTGTCCAGTGAAATCTTCAAATCTGACTCCCCCAGTGCAAAAGCTGGCTTGCCAACCAGTGCTGTTGGCATGAGGCCCAAAGGCCACCCACCTGTTCACAACAGAGCTGCCTGTCAGCTTTGGGGCATTTCACCAGCACCCTGATCAGACAGAGGACACCAGATGTTTCAGATAAACTGCTAACAAGAACGAGAGACTCCAAAACAAAACTTTTAAAAAGAGGAGGAAGAAGGAAAAGCAAATGGAGGAAAAAGAGATAATACAGTGGGCAGGGTAACACTTTCTGAAAAGATATAATAAATATCCTACCTGAGATATATTTTAAAAAGCTATAATAAATGTCCTTGGGGAGGATATTATATCCTTGAAATGGGAATAGGATACGATTAAAACAACAAGCTGAGAACAAGAAAGAGTTCTTGAAGAATATAAATGTGATACTATCATAACAAATTTTAAAGATAAAACACAAGGAAAGTCCAAGAACTGTGTTCTGTAAAATAATGCCAGTTGCCTAGATTTTGAATTCTCCACATATTCCATAAAAACCACACCAGTCAACAAGGATAATCAAACCACCCCTAATCTAAGCCTACCACAAAATTAGGAGTCGGGAACTACTATAAACTTCCACTTGAAGGTAAACAGAATGAACATCCCACACCAGCTGAGCTCTGAAGCCCTCACTGGTCTGGGGAGGCAGACGGAGACTGCACAGGAGCAGGACAGTGGGGCTCTAGCAGTGCCAGACAGATGAAGCTCATCCTCCAGAATGAGGTCACCCAGGAAGGGAGAGCAATGAGGACGTCTGAGATTGGCAGTTCAGAGCAGTGGCTGCTTGGGAATTCAAAGGAAGGGCTGGAAGGAGACGCAGTCAGACATGTGGGGACGCTCTGCTCTCGGGTGGAAAGGGGTAATGCAGACAGCCTTCGACAGTCTATGGCAGGGAGAAAGAGAGAAGCCATGGGAGAAAATTCAGAAGGACAAAACCAAAAGCCTCGCCCAGCCCTTTCCCTACAAGTAAAGGAAGCACCCTACTGAAGCCACTGTGCTTCTCTGTATTGATGAGAGAAAGAA